ATCCATCCATCCATCCATCCATCCATCCATCCATCCATCCATCCATCCATCCATCCATCCATCCATTAACTCTTCTTGCTTCTTTCTTTTTGGGTCATGGGGGTCACTGGTGCCCATGTCCAGCAATCATTGTGCAAAAGGCAGGGGACACCCTGGACAGGTCTTCAGTCCATCACAGAGACACATAGAGACAAGTGAGACAAACAACCATTCACTCTCTCACTCACACGTAGAGACAATTTAGAGTTATCAGCCTAACATGCACGCATTTGGTCTGTGGGAGGAAACTGAAAACTCACCCATCTTGAATTGAGATGACTCCACAAGTTAATCAGTTGTATGGCCAATGAATAATTCATGTTTAATTAAAAATCCATCCAGTTATTCATAAAATATCTTGCTAACAAACAGGCACGTTAACACACGAAGAAATGTGCGCACGCACACACAGAGGCAAAAAACTTGATGTCTGCTTTTACTTTTTTGCAGCCGGCAATAATAATAATAATTTTAAAAAGTTTATTGAGTTTAAATCTCATTCATGTATCTTCCTCGTGTCACTTTCCACTGAGTTCTATAAATTGAAGTTTGCCAGGCGGTGCTCAACGTGTCTCTTCTTGTTTGCGTCTGTCTCTCCATATCTCTGTGAGGCTAAAAGCTCTAGAGTTGCGTGTGTATTGTCATTTCTGCAGAAAACTCAGAGAGCCAATCTGTTATGAGATGCACGTTGTTCTGCAAAAGAGAAGATTTCAGAAAACAAAATGTAGTTTGGGTCATATGAGTGAGTGAAATGATTATTTCCTCGTGCCTCTGCTGCTTCAGAATGGTATGAGCCGTCAACATCTACAGCGTGTGGAGAGGCAACTTCTGGACTCGTGGACTGAGAGTTCCCCCAAAACATAAAGCAAGACAATCAACTTGTCTTATAATAACTTAAAGACTAACATGCATAGTGCACGCCACCTTAAATGCGAGAGCATTAGACTGAGACCATCTTATAAGAAATAGAGTTGTAGCCATTTTAGTCAAACCTTGAAAACAGCGTCATCGTCTCATTCTAAAATTTTAAATATGAATTGGTAATGAGTCTTAGGGACTCCGTCGAGTTTTAGCTCCATATCTGTAAAAGTGAGGGAATTATAGACATTTTTGTGTTGACTAATCAGTGGTCATCTTTAACTGGATTAATTCCACAGGTTAATCAATTGTAGATGTGCATCCAGTGAATACTTTCTGAAAGTTTTGTGAAACTCAAGCCAGTGGTTCATGGGATATTTTGCTAACACACATTGTTGATCCCATGCACATAATGTTTCAAGGTAAGATTTGTGCAATGAGTAGCACTTAAAGCTCGTGTTGTGACTGGCTCTCCACTACAACCACACTCAATTTGAGCACAATATCAGAAAGCTTGTCTGATTTACAGCCGTTTGTGTGTTTTCTAAGGACACTTGGCTTTGGCGGCCATCTTGAACTGGGTTGACCACAAAAGTTAATCAGCTGTAGAGGTATATTAACTGATTACTTCCCGCTTGTTTAAACATTTGCATGTAGTTCATGAGATGTTCTGATGTTTGCTTTCCACTTGTGGGTCATCTAACAGGGCGTGATGGCTTCCAGCAACTTGATTTAGAAAACAAACGACTAAAGGCATGAAGTTGAAAGGTCCTTGAAGTTATTTGAGAAAAACAACATGGACAAAATATCTGCCTCATATGTGGCTTCCCTTTTCCCTTTAATTTCACGGTCATCAGTGAGTGTGGCAAAGGACCAAACTGTTGTGTGTCTCGCTTCTTCTGCGTCCCGGAAGGCGAGTCTTATCAGCAGAACATGTGATGGTGTCAGTAGCCAGGACCCAGACTGGGCTATTGTGCCCCTGCCTGGGCCCGAGTGACGGATGACAGCGCCTTCTCCCTGGAGGAAATGAGGAGGCCAAAGGCAAGCATGCAGGACCAGATTTGAATTTGAACAAAATCTTGTTCTCACCCACTTATCAGCTGTAAAAGTGTCCAGTGCTCCACCCTGGTGAGCGTTTGTGCTCCCTCACACTGGGAAAGAGTGAACCTAAACCCTGCTCCGTGTATCGCGGAGACCCTGAGAGGAGGAAGTCAGGTCAGGCCTGTCTGGGTCCCCTGCCCTTTGCCCTCCCTGGGGTCTCATAAATTAGGCCGCCTTGCCCCAGCAGGTGTGTGTTTGTATATATGAACACTAACAGGGGGATGTAAGGGCTGTAATATCTGTGATCTACGATGTTGGGAATTTATTTTGGGAGGAAACATGCAACCTAAATAACCTTATCCTCCCTGCTGCTGTCGCTCGGGTCGTGTAGATAACGGCACGGCTGAGAAGCCGGTGAGTAAAATGTGTGGGACTTTGACAGGTTCTGTCTCACATGCAGCTCTTAGTTTGAGAAACTATCTATTGGTTTCAGCATCTATTAACATTCGTGTAAAGTTTTTTTTTAGTGATGCTTTAAATGAATTCACGTTCAGCTGCCAAACCCCACAAATACATTAAATAAAAAAATGCAGCTAAAACCTAAAGCTCTTAATTGTTCTTTAGTTTAAAATGTATTTACTACAAACAACTGCAAACTAATTTATTAATTATGATTTTAAAAACTTTAATGCCTTTAAAAGTATAAACAAATCTTTATTTTAGTGCAAATAAACACAGCAGGTAAAACAAGTGAAGGAAGTATTTAAAAAAAATATTGGAAAGTCCTGAATCATTGTCTGACTGCTGAGTCATGCTCATACTGTTTCCAGTTTTTGGACCTTATAACCATTTCAGCTTGCTTTTAGCTTTTTCAGCCATTAAGCTAAAGTGTTCAGCTCGTATAGGATTTTTGCAGTTTGTAGCGCTTTCAGCTTTTGAATTACTTACTTTTTATTTATGTATTTTTCTCATAGAAATGCATTGAGCACGCTTCAAATCATTGAAAAAGTTTTATGCACTTTGAAATTTCCTAAAACTTGTTTACATTTTTTAACGTTTTGTTACTGTCGTGCTCATTTAGCTCTAGTTTTTGTTTTGATCATGTTGACTTTTTGGCATTTGTGTAGCTAATTTGAGCATCTTCTTTTAAAAGTGAGTGGCAAATAATTAACAGTCATTGACATTACTCCAACGTTTTAACAGCAAACAATCGTTCTATAAATAGATATAAAAACAGTTTTTGAATTAATCATCTCGAGTTCACAGATGCATCCAGGTTGAATTGTAAAAGAAAACTAACACGTGTTTATCATAAGGAGTGGGCAGATATTAACCCAACTGAAAAACTTTCAAGAAACAGCCAAACAAATCCACCCAAGAACTTGTCAAAATATTAAATGTTGAGATTCTGCATCTTACAAGTTTATAAAAAAAAAATGCAGCTGCATAAATGAGTCAAAGCTAAAGGCAATCCAAGAAACTATTGCAGTGTGTGACTTTTAATCTTTGCTCCACTGAATTTAAGTTGGAACACATTTTATTCGCTCCATCATACATACATACATACATACATACATATATATATATATACATACATACATACATATATAT